TGTATGATGAGTGGTGTATGATCAGTGGTGTATGATGAGTGGTGTATTGATGAGTGGTGTATGTTGAGTGGTGTATGATGAGTGGTGGACGATGAGTGGTGTATGATGAGTGGTGTATGATGAGTGGTGTATGATGAGTGATGTATTGATGAGTGGTGTATGATGAGTAGTGTATTGATGAGTGGTGTATGAACAGTTCTTGAATGTCCGTAACACGGAAGTTTCGTAAACTAAACTTCCTTTGAACATTCACTTTGTTTGGCAGGCTGTGTGGGATGAAATTCGACAGCAGTGACAATTGTAAGTCTTCTTGCTTAAGGTAGCAAAGCTTTGCAGATTGGAAAGTGTAGTTTTTCCGTTTTTTACTGAGGCAAAATCAAACCGTTATGGCTACAGTGAAACATTTTTTGGCCAACAACATAGAGAACACTCGGCCACTCAACTGCGAAGTTTGAGTCCGATTTATTTTCCCTTTCGAGTCCAGTTAGACTTTCCAAGGAGTTTCAATGGCACAGCATGACTGGCGATCGATCTCACAATTTTCAACGTAACCAGACGTCGCTAAGGTGGTGGGTGAGTGCTGAAATGGATGAGAAAACACTGCATGATGTGTATTTGAGGCGCTGAACAATCTTTGATGTTTTGATTAGCTAGGACAAGAATGTGGTTTGTTGATGTGGTGTCAGAGACTTCGTCCCTTTTTGGAGGGCATGGGCTTTGGTGGTCGCAGACTCTTCGCCAGAGCTCGTCATGACATCATACAACAGGTGGGGATGGTGGTTAGGTTGGGATGCTGGCTGTGTTGGGTGAGCAGCTCACTCACTCTGTCTTTGATTTTTTGCCCTGGCGCCCGCTAGGGTTCAGGGAAAATGGGCCTTTGCCGACCCAAAGTTCATTGATATTTTGAGAAATGATCTTGGCTTTGATGGCAGCATTATGACGGTGTGGCCCTTGGACATATTCACAAAGATAGGGTTTCATAGCACAATCTTGAGATGCAGAGAGAGAGAGAGAGAGAGTGAGTGAGTGAGTGAGAGAGTGAGTGAGAGAGTGAAAGAGTGAGAGAGAGTGTGTAACTTCCTGTTCGAGCACCCTAGCTAGCTTAGGACTGGTTTGCGTCATGGGAAGCCATCACAGGAGGAATGATTCTGGGTGAAGTGGGCAAAACAAGTCCCTTCTATGGATCCAAAGGCTTCATTGGAAGCAACAGAGCCTCGGAGGAAATGGAGAGCAGTAGAAGGGTGTGGCTGCCTCTCACGCAGCTGCGACACAAAATTAACAGCACTGGACAATACGTCCAGGAGGCGCCTGCAAGATGCACCCGCCTCTCCAAACCTCTTTGTTTTGTGGTTGACATGAACGCCAACGCTTGTTCCCATCCAGCTGCCACCCTTCACACTTCACTTCGCAGCTCGCAGAAATGACAAGGACTCTGCTGGCATAGTTTTGGTTCTCTCCCGCTGCAGGCCTTTACAATGCTGGGGTGGACATGGAAATGCCATTCTGTAGCAAGAACCGGGATGCAGTGGCCCAGGCACTTTTATTCGCATGTCACAACTGCAGCCTAGCCACATATTGCAAGTCTGAACGGTGAGTACTTTCTGTGATCAAAAAGCTACCATCGCAATGCTTTCCGGGGCGGACCTATCTAAAGCGCGTCCGCAAATTGCGTAGACAGTTGCTGGTTTTTGGCCACTGTCAGTCTTTGCAGGCGCAGGCATGCGCCGGGTCTGGGGCAGAGGACTGCAACACGTTCCGGAAGCTCAACGCGGCAACGCGAAGGATTCTGCGTTCCAAACTCAGGCGAGTGCTACAAAGTGCCCAAATGGAAGTCACTATCCGCATTTGCAGGTATGGTTTGGTCAGCGAGAGCAGGAACCATACATCCCGAATCTCTTGGGACAATGCAAAATACGACAGGTAGGGGCTGTGCCCAAATGTATGCTTTGTTGTATTGCCCTGCCTGCTGCAAATGGTGCAGGCTGATCCTGCAAGCAGCCCAAGAGGGAATCGTCCTCCTCAAGAATGACAACTTGCTGCCAAAGGCGAAAATGTTGCTTCGCTTGCGGTTCACTTTGTATGATGGTGACAGACCCTTTCACCAGCAAGACATACTTATGCCATGCCAGAGCCTTGAAGCATGGCTACTGCTCAAGATGAGTTTGCAGAGTTGAAAATGCTGCGCTCTCGGTTTCTTGTGTTGCTTGTGTTCTTTTCTCCGCAGGAGAAGGTGCGAAGCTTGGCGGTGCTGGGCTCCGCGGAGGTTTTGGAGCTCGGAGATCACGGCTCCAGCGCTGTGAAGCCTTCTGGAAGGACCACTTCGGACGGACGGAGTGCGTTGTTACGAGTCACCCGTCAAGCCTTCGTTGCTCAAGGAAACGAACAATGTACAGTATAGTATATATATATATATGTGTGTATTTAAATAAGCATGTGTAGGCTTGCCTCAAGTCAGGCGGCCCGCAAAGACCCGACATTGAGCCAGCTCCTTGAGCCATAGCCACCAGCACTATGTCCTCCTGAAGGAGACGTAGACTATAGGCAACAAGCGCAGCATAGATGAGCTGTCCCCAAGCACCTCATCTTCCGGATGATGAAGGCCCTGGAAACGCCCATGTCCATGCTTCGCAGCCTTCTTTGGTGCCGCCTTTGGTGGTGTTTTGGGAACGGCTTGTGGCGGTGTCTTTGATGAAGCTTTCTTTCCGCCATCTTGCGCCACAGCCTTCTCGTGCTTGATGAGGTCGCCGCATCTCCAGATTACTTTCCAGACACCTCCTTAGCAGCAGGCTTCTCCTTCCCCTCTTCTGGATAGAAGTGGTCGCCAGCATCGTTCCATCCACATACACCCTGATTTCAGGCTGGCTTGACTTCCTTGGCAAAAGTTCCGATGAAGTCTGCAATTTGAGATCGGCCAAGGATTGACCTCATCCTCCAGCTGGGCCACAGTCTTTGCTGCTTTCGGAGCTGACTTTGTCGTCAAGCACATAGACCCACCAAAGGCTGGTGTAACCGCAGAAGGTGGTGGATAGGGTTCAACGTCCACAAGCGGTTGCGGATAGCTGTTATCCATGCGCAGAATGGGGCCAGGGTCCAGGTTCCACGTTCTCATGGAAGCTTTCCCGTTTTCGCCGAAGACTCACGTATTCACAAGTTAATTTGAGTGTTGTTCTTTCGCAAGTTGGTGGCAAAGCGATCCCGGGTCGATGTCAGGCGGGTGAACTTTCAGTTCCCACGCGGATCAACCACCTCCTCCACGATCTCAAGCCAGTCTGCCACCCCGACAAAGGAGACGAATGCTGAGGGCAGCGCCGACCAGGTTCTTGGCCAGGCTGACAGGCACAAGTCCCAGAAGTTGCGCGCCGACATGAGATTGCATCCTTTCGCAAACTTTCGGGCGAAGCTTTCAAAAGAACAGCTTGAGGTGTTCAACCCTCATCAAAGGCAGAACGTTGAAGCGCGCCGGAAGATTGCTTGACATCGCAACTTGTCCATTGGTTCAGCGTGAAGCCATTGACGATTGGTCCCCATTCACACCGTGAAGACATCCTGCCCCATCAAGTCCCCCAACAGCGCAGACGCTCCCCGAAGCAGATGGTTCAACAGCTTGAGGTTGGCCATGCTCGCGTTCATGTTCTTCTTCGCAATCAGGTTGTTTTTGAACGTTCTTTTCACTTTTTTCATGGCCCTTTTGAACTTGTCCAACAATATCCTTAACGAAGCTGCTGTTTTTGTTGTCCACCCGGAATGAGAGGCTGCTGTCTGAAGCCCGCAACACTCTCCAACATGCCCATCAAGTTCACGCGGGCTCCGTGACCAAGTAGGCCCACTCCGCTCAAAAAGGCCTTGTGGTTGCCCTTCACGTTGCGAAGGAACCCCTGTGAGTTGGGAAGCCTCCGCCCACATACGCCCAAACCCTGGCTGTCCTTCTTCACTATGAATAGGCCGGCGCATGCCTCCCACTGCAACGGAGTGTCCCATAGGTCGATGAAGTTGTTTTTGACATCCACCTTGCGTGAACATGCTTCTCTCATAGCCTCTCTCCCGGTGAAGTCTGGCGTTCTAGTCCATCAGCGCCTCCTTCGCACTTCAAGGCTTCCACCATGTAGAACCGTCTGCTGACCTTCGCCCGCATCAGATGGAGGGGTCCCTTCCACTGGGACACTGTTGGTTGGTTCCATCCAAAGCCATGGGGACCAACAGTCAACCTTTTGTTGGGTGGACTTTCTAGGGCTCCTTTGGGCTCAAAACCCACGTGTAGGCGAGAGCGCCTTTTCTCGACTTCGAAAGGGCTACATAGTGAACAAGGTTTTTGAAAAATATGTAAATATGTGCGTCGAAGCGCGCGTAAATTAAGCACACACACACGTGTCTTAGAAGAGAGAGTTCCTTCAAATTTCTTCAGAGTGTCCATCATGTCGATCGTCAGTGGTTTCTGGTTTCCCGAAATGTCCAGGTTGGTGAATGTCCTGGATGGCCTTACTGGGAAGCGCTTTGCTGAGAGTGAGCGCTTCATGCCTCGCTGTGCGTAGTCTTGGTTGGTTGTGTGCGCAAAATGTTTCCTGACGGTGCCCACCATATGCATTCACAGGTATCAGGAGGCAGCTGTTCAGATGGTTGAAGACTTGTCAAATGCCTCCCAGGCCAGTTCCTCTGAGTTTTTTGCAGATTCTTTTGCGAATGTTTCAGCGTTGTGAAACTCCACTCCTCCAGCGCCACACTAGTTGAGAGTTTTGATGACAGCCTTCCATCACGAGGAAGCCTTTGTCCAATCAGCTGATTTTGTGGTAGTGGATGTCGGCTTCAATTTTACCTTTGAAGGCGAGCCAGAAACTCAGATTGATGTGGTTTTGTATTCACTTAGGCAGATTCATTGCAAAAGGTCGGCTTTGCGATGTATGAGGTTTATTCCGCCAGCAACTGGCGGCGACCGTCAATATTTGACTTTGCGCCGTGACGGAAAGCAATAAGCATTGACGGTCGCATCAAGCATTGTTTTATCTGTCAAGGTGTGAGGCCTCACGACATTTGCAATACTTCGTCATATGTTGTGAGTCCTTCTATGTTGATTTGAGGCACCCTCATGACCAGCACTTGATTCACAAGGCTGAAGAAACAAAAACAATTATATATATATATCATATATATATATATATCATATATATATATATATCATATATATATATATATCATATATATATAATATATATAATATATATATATGTATATGATTGCAAACTTGATTGGATGGACTGGACAAAGAATACAATGCTTTGTGAAGGGATAGGACTTGTGCCAGGCATCCAACTTGAATCAAAACGTGGTTGTTGTCATCACGGCAGGCCAATTGCCCCAAAACAGTCGCTCTTGGTTCACATTCTTTGCCCATTGTAGCTCGCCCCTTACATGGCTGGTGAGGTGCATCGGTTATCGTGGAAGACTTTGTCGATAAGGCGCCCACCCATTGATTGGTACCGATTGAGTATTTGGCTGGAGAGGTGAAGGGCATTGTTTGGATGGGGTATCCTGGTCCGCCCTGGCCTTGTTTTGTTAGCTTCGATCACATTTGTAGGTTTTGTTGGCCGGGGTGAAGTATATAACCAGACTAGCGTGGAATGGGCCTCATTTGCTTTCCCAAGGCTTGGTGGAGTCGCTCTTGCAAACATCTTGGCCGGACACGTGGCTAGTCTTGGATCTTCCCGCAAGTTTCGCAGAAGTCAATATTCACCAAAATGTGATGCCAATAGCGCACACACACATCAGAAAGGAAAGACAGGTAGATGGTCGTAATTTCAAACAAGTTTTGGCATTCTTCATACTCTCAAGGATGTACGCACATTGTCAAGAAATATATATCTATATATACAGGACCTGTGTTCGGAATTTATCGTAACCACAAGTTTTCACTATGGGTTTAATGGCCAACAAATATGCACGCGTATAGACACCATGATGACAGAAACAATACCCATCCATATCCATCACAAAACAATGCAAACTCTTTCTTGGTGCCAGACTTGCTTGGTCCATGGCACTGCCTGCTTGAAGCTTCCTTTGTTCACTCACACAACGGCCGAAGAGGGCCAAAGTAAGGAAACCAAAAGACTGCCACGTTCCACATTTTATCAGAACTTGCATCCACCTTGCATCCATGTATGCCTTCGCCTGGAACCTGGCTGCTTGAGCTGCAGCCCTACGCTCCCTTGTTTTCCTTTCGTGGCCAGTAGTTGGCAGCGGAGCCCCGGTTCGGGGTGGGAAGCGGCATGAAGGCTGCAGCTGGCTTGGCGCTGGTGGCCCGAAGGGCGACGAAAGGAACACGTCTGGCCCCGACCCCGTTCTTCATTGTCGATCCCCTCGTGTAGCTGCTTGCTATTATATGGCCTTTCAGTTTGATGAAGTAACTAGCACCTTTTAGTGCTGCCACTACGCACCTGTTGAGCACCTCCGACCCTGAAGTGATCTTTGCGCCAGTGGGTCAGACGGCCACTGTAATTTCTCTCGCCGCCTTGTCGAACATAGCTGGATCCCCTTGAGCTGCGTTCACTTTGCGGCGCGCTCTCTTGTTGCCTTTTCGTTACCATTAGGCCAGGCTTTGTGTTTGAAGAATATCAGTAGTCCATGCTTCTCTTGACCCACAGCTCAACGAGCGTGCGTATCAATCACCACACTACACTTCGTCGCGTCGCAATTCACCACGCGCTTCGCCATACACACCACATCACAGACCTCTGGACACTTCGTGCCCAAAATCACAAGACACAACGCTACACCTTTCATCACCTCATCGCGCACGTTTTACGTTCGTGTCGCGATATTTAGTTGCAAGAGCAGTGTTAGCGCATACTCGCCTAGCGCATTAACATTTGTGCGTGACCACGGGGAGGACTCCACTCTTTTTGCCCGGCTGCTAGGTAAACCCATCAGGCAGGATGCCCATGATCACGCCAAAGCGGGCGGAGGCAAAGTGGCATTTCGCTTCCGCCGACTCGAGCAGCCGATTGATGCAATGGCACAGTTTTTCGTTCAGACGTTTTTTTGCCAAAAGGATTACCTGCCGCATGGAACCAGCCTGGCGTGCGACTCTCAGTGGTGCTTTTTTTAATGGTCTGATTCACAAAGACTAAGGCCTTGGGCGTTGCAGACGATCGATGTGGAGCCCACATACCCCTACAGCCATGGGTCCCTCGATGGATTTTGAACAGTTGCGAGGGAGCCAAAATTTGCGAGGTTCAAACACATGTGGCAACGTACGGAGGCAAGATACCCTTTCGGTTGAGGCCTTGGACTTCTGGAAAGTTACAGATGTGGCATGCAACGAATTGAGGCCATGTCTGAAAAACATATCCAGGAGCGAAGCAACTTAGGCTGGGGGTTAAGCTACACGCAGTACAAGTACTCGGAGATTGCTGCTACTTTGGCTGCTGGAAGTGTGCAAGTGGTTGTCCAGGCGCTTCATTGATGCTTTTGATGCTTAGTGCTTTTTGAAGCCTTGGACTGTGGGATTCTTGACTGGTGCGCAGTCACAGTTTGATGGTGGCTCTGTTTCTCAACTTGCAACAAAGCAAAATATCGTGGCCATTTCAGGTGGCCAATGTGGGAGACCGGGTACCTTGGTTGCTTTCTTCTTGTTGTATGCGTTTTCTTGTGAAGCTGAGGCAGGATTGGAAACAGTGCAGGTGTATGCGACATGCCAGGCGCAAGATGCATCAAGAGAAGTGAGTCGTAGTCAAAGGTAGCCTCGTAGTCAAAGGTAGCCAGGCTCAGCAGGTCAGTACCGGACGCTTGCAACGTCCTGAGGCTTGCCGAAGAAAGCGTTTGCCAATAGTCCTAGCTGCCTTCGCAAAGGCCATGCGCGGTTATACAGGAACAAACAAGTGCGAAGTGCACGCGAAACGTTTCAACCCCCCAAGGTTGCGTTGGATGTATCGGAGACAAAGGAGGTGAAATTTGTCATCGAACTCAAGGATCTTTCTGTTGTGTGCTCAGACACGTATACTATCTAATATATATATATAGATAGGCTGAGACATTGTCAGAGTGCACCTTCCTGTGCAGTGATGGGATTGTGTTGCATACATGTAGCGGCATTGCAGGCCTATGACGCTGAGGCCAGTGCGTCACACGGCATGAAAATCGGTTAGTGGCTGACTGCGAGTGATTTCTCCTGGGGTGTGGAACCCCCAGCTTTTGCGAGGCAAATGATGGAAGCTGGTTTCTGGAAAGCAATGAGTACCAGATTCTGGTGAGAATTGTTTGGTTATCCAAGCAGCCACCGCCATGTTCACAATGTGTCCATAGTGCAGGTGGGTCCTGCAGCTCGTGATGATTTGCTTCTACAAACAAGTGTTGAGATTTCTCAACAGGCAGAATGGTTGTTTTTGTGTGCGCCTTCTGTCCAAACCTGAACAAACATTGCGGAGTAAGTAGGTGTGATGAGAGCATTCAACCACTTGCACAAAAGCCAAGCCCTGGTGCAGACCTTTCAGTACCCTGGCAGAGCACGAGCCGAGACACATGCTGCGGCTACTTGCCTGCACATGCAAATGGTGGCCGTGTCAAAATAATTGGCAAAGAAAGTTCAGAGGAAAATCTTTGTGTTACGGACATTCAGAAAGTAAGTAACAGTTGCACAGTAACAGTAGTGCAAGTCGCAGTTGAATGGTAACTGTAGCAAATAAGCAAAAGTTGCACAGTAGCAGTAGTGCAAGTCACAGTTGCACAGTAGCAGTAGCGCAAGTGACTGTTGCTGTGAGATGTTTAAAGCTGGCGAGGTCTCGCGTGGAAGATAGCTGGTAGGAAAACTTGTGTTCTTCCATGCAGAGTGCATCTCTGAAGCTTAAACCTTGAGCTTTGCGGAGCTGGGGACAAGCTTCCCAGAGCTCCGGGCACGGTTGAATCGGCAATTTTGTAGTACACTACATGAACTTCTGGTTTTGCCAAACCAAACTACATCCCACGCTGCTTATTGATGTGTAAGTATAGGTCTTTTTGTGGAGCCTTGTATTTGTGAGCCTGCGCCAATGTGTTCTGAGAGGCGCAGCGCTAAGAATATTTGGGCACCGTTCATCAAACGCATAGCACTGTTCATCTCTAGATCTTACGTCGATCGCGGGTATTGAAATTGTTAAATTTTCAGGTGGGTAAATATGATCCAACAATGCATGCTTCTCAGTTTCCTTTTCCTTCTTTCATTCATTTACTGCATGGGCATGGTGCCGTCCATCTCTAGGTCTTATGTCGATCATGCAAATTGTATGACTAATCGCAATGCCTCTATTTTCAATTTGCAAACATTGTTGGATGATATAAGTGATATAAGTTGATATAAGTTGATAAACTTTAGAATATGCAATGACGACTCAGAGATGACAAGTACCATGCAGAGAATGAGTGCAAGACATGTGAGAAATGCACATATAGGTTGGACACCCTGAACATGTACAATTTCAAGGGAATCGGAAAATAGAGCGAATACAAAAAACTTTACAATGTGCATGAAGCAAGTACCAAGCAGTGGTCATTAGCCGATTCAGAAACCAACCGATCAGGCAACTACGATTCAGAAACCAAAACAGCCGATTCAGAAACTACGATTCAGAAACCAAAATGGCCGATTCAGCAACTACGATTCAGAAACCAAAACAGCCGATTCAGAAACCAAAACAGCCGATTCAGAAACCAAAACAGCCGATTCAGAAACCAAGTCGGCCGATTCAGAAACCAAACTAGGCGATTCAGCAACTACGATTCAGAAACCAAAAGAGCCGATTCAGCAACCAAAAGAGCCAATTCAGAAACCAAAACAGCCGATTCAGAAACCAAAATAGTCGATTCAGAAACCAAGTTAGACTGTTCAGAAACTAAGCCAAGATAATAGCGTTCCATGTGGATGCAAAGGGCTTTTACATTCAGTCAACTAAGAAGTAGTGGTGGACGGCAGGAGGAGTGTGGGGTGGGGGGGGGGGGGGGGGAACCATGGCCAAGATAATAATGTTCCATGTGGATGCAAAGGGATTTTACATTCGTTCATATATGAGTTAACTTGTATCAACAGCATCTGGCGGAACAGAGTGGAGGGTAGGAGCAGTGTGGGGTGTGGGGGTTCATGGCCAAGATAATAGCGTTCCACGTGGATGCAAAGGGCTTTTACATTCATTCAAGTAAGAATTAGTGGCGGACGGCAGGAGGAGTGTGGGGTGGGGGGGTGGGGGGGGAATCATTGCCAAGATAATAACGTTTCTCCTGTTGCTTCGCAGAGAGATTTTGCATCGGTGGCGCTACCACCAACTACTACTACTACTACTACTACTACTACTACTACTACTACCCGGGTCATCAGCTTCTTCTTTTGGAAATGTTTTTGGTTTTGGTTTCCTGGTTTTGGTTACCGAATCAGCGGCTTTGGTTACCGAATCAGCAGTTTTGGTTGCCGGAACAGCGGGTTTTGGTTACCGAATCAGCGGTTTTGGTTACCGAATCAGCGGTTTTGGTTACCGAATCAG